CATTTGAGCATGTAAGAATACACTTTATGCACTATTGCCATTTCTGGGTCTCATTCAATATATTTACTGTTTAGTGATGAAGTCATCTGTAGTCTAGTATAGTCATTATAATCTTTATTGAGCACTATTTGTCTGTCTCATTTCTCACCCAAAAGTTCAAGGAAATGTCAGCATAATTTAAATATCCATATAATATAGTATAACCATTCTTTTTTTGAAAATTATTTCTTTGATGTTTCTGATTTGTTTTCTCTTAAGAATTTTTTTACTACAAAAACTTTTGTGTTTATTCTAACAGTTGAAAATATAAGTTTTCTTTCACATTTTATTGTCAGAACTAGTAGAATTAGGAAAAGTAAATCTTTTAGCCCACGCTGCCCCCTCTCCCCTGGGCTGCCTGCCTCTCCTTGCCCTGCTCTCTGTCCACCGGCTCTCATGCTAGTGGTCTGGCCCACACCTGGCCTGGCCTCGGCCCTGGACTCCAGTGTTTCACAGCCAATGGTGCAGATTACAGGGGAACTCAGAACTAGACAGCACGCAAGGTGGGAAGCCATGTTTATTCTGGAATGAGACTTTCCAGCATCCATACAACACTCTGAAATACCCCAATGGAGAGGATGGCCTGGGTGAACATAACTATTACAGAAACCCAGATGGAGATGTGAGACCCTGGTGCTACGTGGCAGAGCATGAGGACGGGGTGTACTGGAAGTACTGTGAGATTCCTGCCTGTCAGATGCCTGGAAATCTTGGCTGCTACAAGGATCATGGAAACCCACCTTTTCTAACTGGCATGAGTAAAACATCCAACAAACTCACCATACAGACCTGGGTCAGTTTCTGTCGGAATCAGAGGTTCAAGCAGTCAAAGAAGAACTGACTTCTTTGAAGATTGAAGAATTGACAGAAAATACATCTCTGACCTTGTATTGGATTCTTTGCCTATAAAGGAATGATTGAGGCAGTTGCCAACTTGAATGGGGTCGCTAGGTGAAGGGAGTGGAGCAGTTTTTCCTACTATTCTTGCAGCTTCTCTGTAGGTTTGAAATTATTTCAAAGTTAAATACAGAAAAAAAATGAAATACAGCAAAAGCATTTGAGAAAACACAAAACTCATTAATGACGGAAGTCAGTAAATTATGAATAGAAAAAGGGAACGTCTTCCTGATTAAGAGTAACTATTTTTTAGGAGGAATAAATTTAACAAAAAATTTAGATTGTATACTGAAAACTATATAAGATTGCAAAGGAAAATTAATGAAAATCTAAATAAATGGAGATATAGACCTTTTTCATAGATTTGAAAACTCAAGTTTATCCATAGATTCAATGTAATCCTGATCAAAATCATAACATAGATTTTAAAGGAACTGACAAGCTGATCCTAAAATTTGTTGAAAGAATGTTCAACAAATGCTTAGAGAAACAGTAGGGCTCTTTATAAAGAAAAATGCACCTTTATCCTTACATCATTTCTTATATGGAAAGGTAAAGAATAAGCAAAATGATTTTGAAAAAAGTCAGCTTTGGAGGAATTACCCTGTCTGATCTGAAGATGTTCTATAAAGCTACAGTCATTTAAGTGAATGATGTTGGCATAAGAACAGTCACATGGATTTTGAGTCAGCAAACAATAGCCCATGGGCTAAATCCTACTACCGCCTTTTTCTTTTCTCCCCCCCACCCCATACTGAGGATCAACTCAGGATCTTCTGCTTTTGAGGCAGGTGCGGTGCCACTGAACTAAATCCCTGGCACCCACCTTTTTCTTTAATAAATAAAATTTTATTGAAACATAGCCATGCGTATGCATTTACATATTATCTATGGCTATTTTCATGTTACAGCAACAAAGTTTAGTTGAGAAAGAGTCTATGTGGCACACAAAATCAAATAATTACTATCTGACCTTTTTTTGTTCCTGTACTTATATGGGCAACTGATTTTTGACAGAGGTACCTGGATAATTCAGTGGTGGAATAGATTTTCAACAAATGCTTCTAGAGAAACAGCAGGGCACTTTACAAAGAAAAATGAACTTTTATTCTTGCTTCATATCAGACAAATTAAATTTAAATTATACTACTTTAAAAGTACTGTTAGCAGTGGAATAAAACATGGACATGTGGGTGAATGAAATATAATTAAGAGAACAGAAATAAACCCACACATTGATGATCAACTGATTTTCAACAGAGATGCCAAGATTACTTAATGTGAAGAGGATAGTATTTTCAACAAATGTTACCGAAACAACTGGATATCCACAAAGAATGAGTCTGAATCCCTGTTGCACATGATATATAAAAATTATCTAAAACTAATCAAAAACCTAAATGTAAGAGCTAAAACTATAAAACCTTTAGAGGGAAGCATAGGTATAAACATGCCTGACCTTGGAATAGGCAGTGGTTTCTTAGTTACAGTACTGAAAGTCCAAGTAACCAAAGAAAAAATAGATAAAATTTGACTTCCTCAAAATTAAAAACGTTTGCACATCTAGTACACGAATAAGAAAATGAATAGAAAACTCATAGATAAGAGAAGATATTTACAAATAATATATCTGATAATGATCTAGGGTCCAAGATATATAAAGAGTTAATACAATTCAACAGTATGAAGACAATTCAATTTAAAAAATGGGCAAAGGATTTGAATACGTATTTCTCCATACAAGATAGACAACTGACCAATAAGCACATGAAAAGATACATGTTCAGTGGCATTAGTCTTTAGGAAAATGCAAATAAAAATTCATTAGATACTAAAAAAAAAAAAGAAAAAGTAAATCTTTTAAAAATAAATGGTTATTTTTTGGACCTGACTACATAGAATTGAAAAAAGATTTAATATTAAATCCAAAATTCTGAAAGCGTAGGCTAAATATGAGAAATATCAGGAGTGTATTCTCATGTTGCCATTCTTGCAGCTTGTGATATATGTTGTTCATTTACAAAATCGAGTCTTAAATTTTAACTGTTATGATCCATTTAATGCATGCTATGGGCCTTCCTATGTATTTATTTGCCAAGATAATTCATTATCTTCTACTTCTTGATCTTTCATTTTTGATGGTTAAATTTATGGCAGGGATTGGCTAATTTTTCTAGAAAAGGCTAATATATTAATCCATTCAGGGTGCTTTAATAAAATAACTTAGGCTGGGTGATTTATAAACAACAGAAATTTGTTATTCACTGTTCTGAAGACTTCAAAGTCCAAGATTTCGTATTAGGTAAGGGTGCCCTTTTCTTCTCATAGAAAGCGCATCCTCACACGATTGAAGGGACAAAGCAGCTGCCCTCTGGCTTGATAGAGCCTTTATAAAGGCACTGACCATATTCAAAAGGCATCTGCACTCTTAACCTCATCACCTCCCAAAACCCTACCTCCTAATACCATCACCTCTGGGCTAGAATTTCAACATACCATTTTGGGGGAGACAAAAATTCAGGCCATAGCAGCCAGATAGAAGTTAATATAGTCTGTGGACCCCAAAGTCTCTGTTAGACACTCAGCTCTGCCTTTCCCATGGGCAGGCAGTCTTAGACTCTAAATGACTCAAGGAAAACACTTCAAAGTTTCTTTACAAACAGGCAGCCACATGTTGTATGGTAAAAAGGGGAGAGGGGGAGAAAACAAATACATCAGGATAACATGATCACTCTATTGAAAATGCTTTCCTATTCCCATTATTTTAGTTCGTTATTTTTAATTTTCTGGCAGTTCTGAGGATGGAACCCAGGGCTTTGCACATGCTAGGGAAGCACCCTGCCACTGAGTGGCATTGCCAGCACATGTGGCTACATTTTTAATAGTAGCAAAAGAGGTGTACAGTTTCAATAAACTTATGTATACACCTTTAACTTATTCATCACTCTGTATGTTATTTTCTCTTTGATTTTTTAATCATCAGAGGTTGTTAGAATATAGCACATGATTCAAATTTAAGATCTTTTGGGGGTACTTTTAAAAACTATACTTTCATATTTCAAAAAATTAAGTCATAAGAAATTATCATGAATGGTCTTCATCTTATAATAAATGGATCGGGAAAATAAAGAAAAAAATGGATCAGGACTTGGGTCAAGTGTAGATTGTGTCAGCTATAAAGAATGACCTCTCTAATCCACCTTTGTAAATCTGACACTGTACATTTCTTTCCCAAGGAAATGAACTCTGTATAAGCTTTTCTACAGGGTTTCTTGGAGGCCCTTCCTAATTCTTATAACTGAGCAGAAGATTGTACATTTTTATGTTGAGTCTCTTGGCTATGTTTGGCTTGCATTCATTACTGACCTGGCAGGCTTGCTCTGAGAAAATGAACACAGATGCACACAGTTAGATTTTTAAGATCATGCTAAACATTCTGACAATAAAATTTATTTTCTCCCTTTTGAAACTTTAAGATCAGAAACTATATATTCCATTTATGTCTTTCATGATGGCTCTATATTATATATCTCTATTTTTTGTATGTTTCTCTTGTTTTACAAATAATATACATTTTATACTGTAATCCTCAAGGAAAAGGAATGCTCTTCCTGGGTTAAAATGTGTTACTGTAGGATTATACTTTTCTTGCCAACACGCTTCAGAAGCTGCCCTAGTCTTCGAGTCCCCTCCCCTGCTTGCTTTGGACATTAACACACAGGTGTGCCTGCACCCCATCTGCACTCAGCTTCATTGCCCTTCCTCTCCTGGAAAGTCTGGAAATGCATGTGGCTTGCTTTCAGACCTCCCCCAGGTAGAATTACCAGTGTCCTCAGTTGCTCTGGTTTTAGTGTGTATTTTCCTCCCTCCGCTATGATTTCCTCCCCTGTGGATATGAGTTACTTCTCATAGATAGGACCTGACACTATCACACTGCCCTGTGACAAACACATTGGGCACAAAATACTGACATGTTGAACAAAGTGAATACAGTTCATTGACTGGAAAAGAAAGACATTGTTCATTGCAAACTGATCAATCACACATTTCCCCTTGGTTTCTAGGTATTCTTGAAGTTCTACACTGTGTGTTAGTGGAGAGTCCAGAAGCTCTAAATATTATTAAAGAAGGACATATTAAATCCATTATCTCACTCTTAGACAAGCATGGGAGAAACCATAAAGTAAGTAAACGCTTTTATTTCCATGAATGGATTCTGGAAGCAGTTCAGATATAAGAACAATGTATTGTACCTTTCACTATGCAGTATGAAGAAAAATAGAAAATGTTTTAAAATTTTAAATGATGAAATGATAATATTTGAGGAGACACGTGTGTTTGCCTTGATTTAAACATTATGCAACATATACATGTATTGAAGCACTACACTGGATCCTGTAAATATGTGGAATTTTTATGATTTTATGTATCATCTAAAATAAATTTAAAGTAAAAAGTAAGCTAAAATAAGACGACTTCTCAAAGATGTGTTGAATTTTTCATGAGTTTTTTATGTTAGGTATGATTGAGTTATATTGTTTAGTTTTTATTCATAGCTTCAGTGGGAGCATAAACGGTTCTCCATTTGTGTGTGAAGGAAGGTGGGGAGATCAGTGAGACACGTGCTGTCATGTTCAAATGACTGAGCCCAATGGAACTGGCGGGAAGGGTGTGCTTCACAACAAGCGCTGCTGAGGCTACAGTTTAAAGAATGAGTTAGAATCCATTGGAAGTACTTTCTCATTTCAGGTTCTGGATGTCTTGTGTTCGCTGTGTGTTTGCCATGGGGTCGCTGTCAGGTCTAACCAGCATCTCATCTGTGACAATCTCCTGCCAGGACGAGATCTTTTATTGCAGACCCGTCTTGTGAACCATGTCAGCAGGTAAATTCAGATGGACAATGTCTTAAATAGGTAACATAGCAAAAGTGTGCTCAGTCTGCCTCTGTAGCTAATGCCACAGATGGTCCATTCATTTCTTAGGCTCTTTTATGTATTCCTCCAGTGAATAATAGAAGTATTGTTTTCTACCAAGCAAATAGGATAATAATAACAATAGATGAAGCAGTATATCAGTTTGTCCCAAACACATGTTTAAGAGCTTTTGTCCATTTGTACATAACATGAATTATCATTGACACCTTTAGGAGTAAGCTGACAATTATAGAGATATAGTTGTGTATAATTCTATTTTATGTCTTAGAATATAACTAAAAATGCAGTCCTTCGAAATTGCTCGGAGGTGCCCACTGTGTATGATAAAAAAGGAGGTCTAAAATATAAGTTCCACAAATAGCCAATAAAATGGCATCCTCAGTTAGATCTGGCTTCTAGAGTAGCTAACATTCATTGAGTGCAATGTGCCTGCTACAAAGCCAGGTGCTTTACATATCATCTGTACTCTGTGTGTGTGTGTGTGTGTGTGTGTGTGTGTGTGTGTGTGTGTGTATTTTCCTGAGTACTGCTGTTACCTACAGTTTACGGATGAAGAGTCTGGAGCTAGAAGTGGATTTCAGGTCTAACTCCAGACTTGACTCTTAACCACCATACCACACAGCCTTTCTTACCCCTACTCATAAGCAAATAAATAGCATGTGATAAACTTTACCATCAACAAAATGCTTTATGTGATAGTAGCTCTGGTATGCTCCTCTCCAGGAGGTAACTTATTGATTTATCCTATTTTAAACACAAGTATAGAATAAAATGTATACATCTATACATTTGTGCTTTTTAAACAGGATTGATTTCAGATCTCCTTCGTGGCTCTTTATATATCAGACCTGCTATTCATGAGTAGTATTTCTTGAGAACTTCACTAATCCCTGGGATTACCACAGAGTATAAGTCTCCTCTAAACATGGAGTAAAACTTGCTAAAAATTCTTCTGTTCACAGTGAGCAGCCACCTCATTAGGCACCTTGGTGCTTCAGCTTCTTGATCCGTGTGACCCAAAGCTTAGCTTATGAGGGAGGCTGTGTGTCCTGGGTTCGCAGCAAGCCCATCAGTTCTAAAGGCCTGCTATACAAAGTGCCTCAAATTTGATTGACCATATAAAATGTGCTGAAGAACAATTAAAAGTTTAAAAAATTAAGAAAAATAATATTAGATCCTTGTGTGACATTGCTAAGTAAACCAAAAAGTAAATACTGTTCACTGAAGGTGACAGAGACTTGCTGTCACTCTATATGACCTCAATGGCTATGTTAATAATTCTGAAGGATTGAAGGGAACATATGTTTAATATGTGGCTTCCCAGAGAAGCAAGACTAGCGTTCAGAATAAGAGAGAAACGAGAACAGTGAAAGGCGTGTTTGGCCTGGTCTCACATGTTGTTCCTATCTCTTTAAAGCATGAGGCCCAATATTTTTCTGGGTGTCAGTGAAGGGTCTGCTCAGTATAAGAAATGGTACTATGAGCTCATGGTGGACCACACTGAGCCGTTTGTGACAGCAGAAGCCACTCACCTGCGAGTGGGCTGGGCTTCCACGGAAGGCTACTCGCCCTACCCCGGGGGCGGTGAGGAATGGGGCGGCAATGGTGTTGGTGACGACCTCTTCTCCTATGGATTCGATGGCCTGCATCTCTGGTCAGGTAGGCACTCTCCTCTTCCTGTCACCAATTTCTGGTTGGAGATGGTGCGATCCTGCTATGTGCTTCTGAAAGCTATCAGTGCTGCTTCTATGGCTAATTTGATTATTCAGAAATTTAACATTGAAATGATGAGTAAAGAGGGTTGAGTAAAGAGCGATATTTTACCAGATAAAAATGAAGATACTTACAATTGTAGTGTATTCCCAAAGGACTCTGTTGCTTATGAACAATATTTTTAAAAGTGGCATTTCAGTATGTGATGGACTACAAAGACCTTGTATGTTTCTGACTTATTATAATTGATATGTGCAGAGATTTAGCTTCCAATTTAAAAAGCACAAAACACAAACCCTGAAATGTGATGGGAAGAAATGGGCTAGTTCAGCCTCCTGCAAGATAATGTAAAGGCAGGTATCAGTAATCTGCGAAGGGCTGTGTGACTAGTCCATTCATGATGAAATAACACTGCTTTAAAAAGTATAGAAAATAGCACAAAACTTTTTCCTCAGCGAAGTAAGAGAAACTAGTAGTATAGGTGCTATTATCTTTCTTATTAGAGATTCTTTTTTATCTATGATCTGAACTCTGAATAACATTTTTGGCTATTCTTTTAAGATTATGATACACAGGGTAATAACTATTGTTATTCTCTAATTATTTTGCTATTCAATTGTGTATACTTTTATGGAAGAGTGCTTTTTTATTTTCTTTATTAATATCTACATGTATTACATTAAAATAAAAAAGTGTGGAAAAGGTTAAAAGTAAGTGTATAGTTCATTTCTCCAGCTACCTACTCTCAGTTCTGATGGTTGAGTATGTATTAAAGCGAATATTATATAGTAGACGTAATATTTTTCTCTGATTCATGAAAAGATATTGTACGGTTGATTTAAAAATACAGCTCTAGGGCCAGGATTTAGCTCAGTGGTGCCGGCACCTGCCTCACAAGCACAAGGTCCTGAGTTCGATCCCTGGTACAAAAAAAAAGTACTGCTCTCACCTATGTACATATTTTTTGGATAGTTGAGTTCATCTGGAATACGCATTTCATAAAGCTGCATTTAGAATATAGTCCTGGCAAGACTTTGAAATATTTTACAAAGTGTTCAATGTATAGAAGATAAAGAATACCAACTTGAGTTATGAAAATCTGAACTTTATCGCATGGTTGCAAGCACTGTTCATTTAACAGTGCTGGATAGGCCTGATAGCTTATGAAAAGAAATCTTAAAATTAAGTGTACTAAATCTGAGTTTATGGTAATGCATTTATAAACTCTCTTTACTAGTTGTATCTTAACAATAATAGTTACTGAATTTGTCCTTTATCCAGTACCAATAGCTCTGTTGTCTAGAAGAAATGAAGCTATACTGTATTCTGAGTGCTTCATCCGACCACTGAGGTGTGTGGATGGGGTCATCAGAATAGTGAGGGTTGTCTGTATGTACAAGCACTGTGTTATGTACAGGAGAGCTGCAGTGTTAGCTTGTTTTCACATTAGACAAGAGACTAAGGGGAGAAACATTACTCTGCTGAGACAATTCTGAATTGTTTCCAATTATTTTAGCTTTGTAAAACATTTTACCCTTTTGTTTTACATTCAGTTTGATGCTTTTCCTTTCACTATAGTAAAAGAACCTAGTAGTTGTAGAATTGAATTGGCTGCAATATGCTTTTTATTACAAAGGGTCTTTTAAATAGAACAATAAGAACAAAAAATTTTGGGGAATCTATGGGTATGTCACAGAAAGCATGGTAGGTAAGCTTTGGAATTTCAGGAGAAAATTATCTTGAAACTTTGTCAAGAGCAAGTATTTGTCCCTATTTAAAAAATGACAAGAAACTGGACTGTATTATGCTTTAGTTGAAAAGTCTGGTGTCTCCAGTTGGAGGGAATCTATTACATGCTTTGCTAAGTTTTGGTTCAGAGACAACAAAGCCAAGTCTAATGTATTAGGAGGCTGGCTGACTGAGTTACAAAGGCTGAATTCATAGTAATTTAGCTCATCTTCTTGGGATTCTTCTCCTATTTCTTTTTGATTGTTGATGTAGAATTTAAAGTATCAAATATTAGTGATTTTTAGGAGAGAACACGTTTTAACTACTGAACATTTTGTAATTGGAAAATGATGTTCCTTGGCACCCAGATTTGGCTCAGAAGAAAAGTTTTGAGCTATGTCTTCATTTATTCTCTATAATTTAAATGTTGTGCAGTGTTGCTATTGGGACATTCCAGATGTTTGAAAGAAACAAAACTATAAAAAAATCTTGGTGCTTTTAGAGAATTTGAATAGTAGAAGTATAGAGGAATGATAAGCCTTACAGGAAAGATGGTGTAGATTTCTCACCCAGGATCTGTGAATCCAGCTGCATTCACCTCCCTTTCTGCTCATGCAGAAAACAAAAATACAGTTCTCATGTTGATCATTGATAGTGTTTAATCATTGCAGCCTGAAAATGCTACTTAGTGGCTTCAACACTGTGAGTGTCATTCAAACTGTGGGCCTCAGTTTGTTCACTAGTGGTCTTTTCTATTTATTTCAGAGATTGCAAAACAGTTTACTGTGATAACTGTTAGGCACTAGCATTAACATAATAATATCCTTCAAACTGAGCAGTATATTTGGATTATAGTAAATCTATGCTTTTACTATGATAATAACAACTAACATATTAACATTTTTATTAACTGCAGATTTTGATACAAACAAGGAAATAGGCCTTTCTCCGTGAACTGCATTTACATGATTTTGGAGAAAGCTGCCCTTATTATATTCAGGGAATTCTAGAAGAGCCACTTGATCCTCACTTTGTGGCTTGCAGATTTGAATATTGATAAAATAGAAAAATCTGTATTTTAAAAAGCCAGTATTCTCTATAATTGGCATATCAACTATGTTCTTGGTAAGAACCTTGGCATGCTAGAAATAAAAAGAAGCGTTATAAAAATACAAAGCATACATCATGAAATTTATTTTTGTGTTTGCTCAAATCAAGGAGTATAGTTGCGTTTCTCAGCATATATATTTGGAAGAACTTTGTCTTCCTTTTCCAGTGTGCTATGAGAAACAAATGCCTTTGGGACTGATTAGCAAAGGGGTTTTGATATAGTGAGAATGGCCTTAGACCATTGTTTGGCCTGGGCAAGAAGAGACACTTATCAAAAATTATTTTCTTGTCCTCAGTTGTATCCTCCATACTTAAGAGAATCAAGTCCTTGTGTGAAATAAATTATAAAGCAAGAACTAATTAGTTAGTATATAATTGTCTCAGAATGAGCAATACACTGCAAGGATGAATGATCACAGTTTCTGCTCTCATTATCTTTATATAGTTTTATAGAATAGAGGGGACTTTGTATTTGGAAAGGGAACCTGACCTACACTTGAGAGTGTGCCCCTTTTGGACTATTAATTTAATCATCATAGTACTTCTAGATGGTGATGGTATTTGGTGTTCTAAGAAATGAAAGTTCGGAGAAGTCAAGGAATGTGTTGTTGGGTGCGTGAGTAATAGGTGGTAAGGTAGCTATTTTCAATCAGATCTTTTCCTGGCAAATTTCCTCTGACATCATTATAATATGTACTCTAAGATAATTTCTGCATCAAATGCCATCTGTCTACCTGCAGAAATCTTTATATATCAGAAGGACCATTTTCTAATGAAGCAGCCTGGCTTCTGGAAAAGGCAGTGTTTTGTTTTAGACCAAGAATTAAGCATATAACATTAATTTGCACTCAAGATTTCATTCATTCTGGTCTTGTGTATTGGTTTTCTCGCTGCCTATTTAATTCTTTGACTTTAGCTCTGAACATGGTTCTCTGAGATGAAAATACATTACCTTTCTCAATGTTTTCCCCCAACAGGTTGTATTGCACGTACTGTAAACTCACCAAACCAGCATCTGTTGAGAACTGATGATGTCATCAGTTGCTGCTTAGATCTCAGTGCCCCAAGCATCTCATTCCGAATTAATGGACAGCCTGTTCAAGGAATGTTTGAGAATTTCAACATTGATGGCCTCTTCTTTCCAGTTGTTAGCTTCTCTGCAGGAATAAAGTTAGTATGTCTCTGTTTTCTGGTCTGTTTCCCTTCTCACTTCTCATGCTTCCACAGAAGACTCTAGCCTACCATAGCCCTACTTTTCTAGCTTTCGTTTGCTGTTTCCTCCTGGGCATCTCTTGCCAGGGCATTTTCCTGATCCTTGAAGGAGAAGCTAAGTTTCACCCAAGAGGCTATTTCCAGAGGCAAATATTTTGCCCACCTATTCTACCATTCATCTCTGGTAGTAACTAATGTTCCCCCAAGTCAGTGTCCTGAAATACATTTCAGGTCCATTTTTCAAGTTCATTATATTATGTAATAACGGAAAATGAATAATACTTTTAAAAACACTACTTTCTTATATTGATTTTTATTTATTTATCTTTTACCATAGCCTTGCATCCCATTTCAAACCCCCTCATTCTAGAGAAAGTAAATGTTCCTTCTGTGAGGATGGCTCCTTTCAGTGTCCCCTCCACCTGTCCCACTAGTAATTCTCTGCATGTTATCCACCATGTCAAGATGATTTCCTCTGATTTTTTGTTTTATTTTTGTTATTACCAGAGGAAAACAAAGTTATAATTTATTAGAGTTCACAGAGAAAACTTCAGTATATGATGGTCGATCATAATAAGGGCCCACATATATATATACACACACACACATATATATATATGAATATGATATATTCATATATCTTATCCTTACCAACCTTCCATTTATTTTGCTTATTCTTTTAGTTATAATTCTTCTCCCAGGAATACTTCTAGTTACGAAAGCATCACATTGAAGAATTGAATAATCCTGAAATCTTAGCTGTCCTTTCTGGTATACTAATTATGTTTTTTTCTATAAGCTTCTTGGTTGTTTTAAAGTTTTTGTTTTTCATCATGTTTTTTTCTTGGATGTGTTTTTTAATTTTTGGCCTGGAACTGAGACACAAATCAGAAAAGGGATTATAAGGCAAATGAAAATTTTTAATTTTTTTTAAAGTTGAAAGTCCCAAGAAATCAGTGTCATTAAACTGTTTCAAAAAGTGTTGTTCAGGGCCGGGGATTTAGCTCAGTAGTTTCACCACCTGCTGTGCGAGTGGAAGGATCCAAGTTCGATCCCCAGCACCAAAAAAAAAAGTGTTGTTTAATGGAATTCACATAAATTGTTTCTAATTAAATAAGTATGATGCATAAACAACTTTAGTAACTTCTTTTTTATTGATGTTGAAAGTAGTAAACAGTGAAAAAAATAAGGTTATTTGCTTTCTTCAGCAAATGGAGGTAGTACCTGAATCATTTTTAAAGAATTTCATGATTAAATTGGGCACTAAGACATGACTGCTTTCTTTCCTTACACCTAATCCAGTTGTACAGTTTTAAGCATACAGATACTTAGGTCATGCCTTTTTTTCCTGTTTATTAGTTGAGCCTCTTGGAATAGTAAGTGATCAGTTGCTGTGGACATGCATTTCATTTACATAGAAATATGCATATACTTCTAGTTATTTTTAGAGGCAGTGATAAGCCCTCACTCATCCATTAATATAATTTATCTAGGTTTTTCTTTTGAGCAATATGATGCTCTCATGTTTTTCTTTTTATTATTAGAAGTTCTTAGGTGATGATATAATGATTCTTAGGAAAAAATTGTGGCTTCTGATAAAGTTAATATTTTTTCCTAATGTTTTGTTGCTTAGAAAACTGTCATATCCATCAGTGATCACCAACCTTTTTGGGACCAGGGACCGGTTTCATGGAAAACAATTTTTCCATGGACTGGATGTGGGTATGGAGGAGGATGATTTGAGGATTAGATTTTCATAAGGAGCAGAGGAGCTAGATCCCTTGCATATGCTGTTCACAGTAGCATTCCGTGCTCCTATAAGAATCAAATGCTCCTGCTAATCTGACAGGATGAGCATTTCAGGCAGTGATTCCAGTGATGGGGGATGGCTGTAAATATAAGTAAAGCATCTTTCACTACCCCGCTGCTCACCGTCTGTGTGCAGCCCAGTTCATAATAGGCAATGGATTGGTACCAACCCAGGCATTAGGGATCACTAATGTACACCAGATATAACTGACTTTGACATGAATCCTTTTTAGGGTCCGCTTTTTGCTTGGAGGGCGACATGGGGAATTCAAATTCCTTCCTCCACCCGGGTATGCTCCTTGCTATGAAGCTGTTCTGCCCAAAGAAAAGTTGAAAGTGGAACACAGTCGGGAATATAAGCAAGAACGGACATATACGCGAGACCTGCTGGGGCCAACCGTTTCCCTGACCCAGGCCGCCTTCACACCAATCCCTGTGGATACCAGCCAGGTACTGAGATCACCTCTAATGGCAGTCTTTTGTTCCATAGCCATTCTGATAGCCATGGGTTGCAAGCTTACACTGCAGCCAACTGGGATGCACTTCTTCGTGATACAACTGACATGTCTGATTGAAATAATCTCATAAAATCATATACTCCCTGTTACCATCTTCACTTCCCAACATTTAAGTCTCTTTTTTTAAGGGTTATCCCAGCTCACTAAATTGATTTCATAAGGCAATAATGAATCACAGCTTGAAGTTTTGAAACACTGTTCTGAATTCTCTTTAAGGTTTTATTAAAATAATTAATCTTATTTAGCTTATAAAGCACACTTTAATATTTTCAAGAGACATGTAATAATAGCAACAGGTGGAACCTAGTTGGACAATTATATAAGCAACTTTAAGGTGTGATATATTAAGATGACTTTTCGTCTAGGGTAATACACTGCACTTGAAGTAATACCATATGGGTGTAATGCATACTACTTTTGGAGTATACTTTTCTACATAGAAAAGACATGGAGTTTTTAATTTCTTTTCCCATCTAGATACACTTATTTTGTTGAATTGTTTAACTGAATTTTGTCTTGGGAAGAGATTAAGATGAGATCATAGGCTCCTGAGTCAAAATGACTAGGCTCAAATGCCTCATCTGGGACCTCGAGGAAGGTCCTTATTCAGTGAGATGCCAAGAACATGTTTGACCGAGTTAATAGATGACACATAACTTTGCAAATAGACACCTAAGAAATGTTGGCCATTATTTATGCTTTTCTGGCTCATAGATGTAATGGCATTCTTAGGTTGACAGTGAATTAAATATGAATAAGTCCCTGACTTACAAATGAATTTCCATCTGGGAGAGCATTCATAAGTTGGATTCATTCATAATCTGATGAAGTGAGTTTTATACAGTATAGGTATGAAAGTTCACAACTCGAATGTTTGTAAGTCAGGGGCTTATTGTATTGCTGTATTTTGATGGTGAAGTAACTCCAGTGAGGTTGGCTAGGCACTCAGTTTGGGTGTTAGTCTGCGGAGATTGAAAGCTTTGTTTCAAGGTCTGAAGTTGAATTAATACTGGAACTCAGAAACTTCAGTTGTTTAGCTCCTTGAATTATATTTCTTGCTTCACTATGCAGGCTTTATGTATCATGTACTTAAAATAAATACACAAGATTTGTTCCTGGTTGAGATTCTGTTTGTGTTTTCCACTGCTGAAAATGGCAGGATATGTTTGATACCAAAGTATAGTGGGAACATGGTAGTGGGTAGCGAAGCAGTGCGGTGGTAGCAGCTGGGGATGCTCAGGACCTCACTGACCACTGTTGTTCAAGAGAGACGATAGGATAATGACTTGCACCCAGGGTAAACGTGACCTCGTCCATGGACACCATAGGTTTTGGTCCTGTTGAGGACTAGTTCTGGGGTCACACAGGAGGGCTATATCAAGACATAAACAACCAACTCCTTACCTTATAAACCATCCTGTGTTCTTTATGAAAAGGTCATTAAACTTCCTCTTTCTAATGGGCATGTGTGAAGGTTTTTTTCTTGAGGCTTATATCTGGGAACCACTGGAACTAACACGGTACAACTCAGGAGAAATATGAATTGCTGCAGTCAGACATTTACAGGCTCAAGGAGCCAGTAGAGTATAACATGGGCACTGACTTTCCTTCACTCTGGCTTGTAGTGTTGGCCAGGTTGGTGTAAGAGTGCTGGGGTGATTTCTCTTTTTAAATAATACACCCTTTGGCCATTGCGCCATCTCCATGAAATGTCTTTCAGTTGTGCCCACAAACTCTTCATTTTCTTTGTTCATTAATTCACCTACTGGTAGAAACCTAAGTTGCTGCCCAAAAGTGGGAGAGTTGTCCAAGCATTTATCTAGAGAACGTCATGGAACAAAAGGTTTATAGCCTCCACCTACCGTTGCATCTCAGTGGTTTATGAGACAGTGATATGACTGATGCTGAATCTTATTGCATTTGTTTCTGATGTGTGCTTTCTTTTCCTTTTCAAAAATTTTAGATTGTGCTGCCTCCCCACCTAGAAAGGATAAGAGAAAAACTGGCAGAGAATATCCATGAACTCTGGGTTATGAATAAGATTGAACTTGGCTGGCAGTATGGTCCGGTACATATTTTTGAAATTTATTTTCTGATTCTGTTAATTCATCTTTCTGAAAATGTTGCTTTTTCTCCCTCCCTTGCTATGAAGTGGTATGAATCAATAGATTGATTTTTTTACTTGGCTGCATATTAGTTTTTGTGCAGTATTTTTTACTAAAAGGACCGAGATTATTGGCAGGCACATTGAAGGATGGCTTAGTTCTGTAAACAATTGTAAAGTTAACTGTCTTTGGGTTGAAAGTTGTATTTTAAAATCAAGATTAATATAGACCATGGATTTTGATTTTTAAGCCAATTAAAAATATCAGTGAAGGTGAAAGTACAACCTGAAATGAAAAGAAAAAAACTAGTTTACTTTCCCCTCTTTGATAAGTCTTTCCCCTTAGTTCACTTTGAGCATCATAGCCAGAGGCCTGTGGGCAAAAGTTTACAGTTGGTTATACAGTTGGTGGATAATTTCACATTACCAAATGATATTTTTGCTAAAGAGCTTAGTTTACAATTTGTCAATAAGACTTATATTTTAAAAAATCTTCCTGTGTAATCTCCCTACATCATATACCTGTTTTTAGCAGGACCTATGTTAAGTCACTTAAATCATTAGTAATAGCTATTAAATGTTGTTATGGTTTAGATCTAAAATGTCCCTCAGCTGTCTCATGTGTTCAGAAATGGGGTTTTGGAAGGTAGTTGGTAATTATTTCATTTCTATAATATTGTTATTCTAAGAATCCCAAAGGCTGTAATATTTTCTTTCTTTTTTTCTTTTTTCTTTTTTTTTTGGTACCAGGGATCGAACTCAGAATCCTGTGCCTGCAAAGCAGGCATGGTCCCAATGAGCTAAATCCTCAGCCCCTGTAATAGTTTCTTATACTTGACTGAATATAGAAATTAGTGTATTTATTATCCAAATAATAGTTTATTGTACTCACCTCTGAATAAAGAACATTTATTCTTAGTAGTAATACCATATGAACCCCCATACTACTCAGCAACATTTATAATATATACTTATGTTTTGTAATCTCACATATATTCTCACCTACTGAATATTAGGTGGAACTGACATGACAGCACATGGGATTATGTGCTATGACTTTGGTGTTTCTGGTGATATCACGGCTGGGAATTCTTACAGAGTTGTTAAGTGCCATGGAAGAAATCATGTAGCTAGTAAGTTGCAGCTCTAGTAATGGAAGCCAGGTTTTCTAATTTCTAGTTTAGAACTGTGTTTCACTATAAAACTTGCCAAATGGAAGCCAGAAACAGATCCTTGCATTAACTAAGCAATAGATAGATGTTTGTTAACTTAGAAAACACTTCTTGAAGTTAGTTTTGTGTTACACATTCATAGATTCCTGAAAATTGAGGAAATGGATAAATGCTAAATAAAAGACTGAAGCACCAATCAAAATCATCAAGAAGAGAGCATAAATGTATACCTAGTCAGTTGTCAGAGGAATTACAGTCAAAATTCACCAAAAGTTTCTGAGTGATGGAAAGATGACTGTAATCTAGGAACATTTAAAATGATTCATACAGCTAGGTGTGGGGGTGCCTGTTTATAGAATAACATTGAATAGATCTACTCTTTCATTTGTGTCCCCTTAGCGTTCTAGGCCTACAGTTTGCTTGGTTGTGTCTGGTACTGGGGACTCAAAGATGGAAAGTTCTTGATTTTGGTTGTGTTTTCCTTTTAGGAGCTTGCTTTTTATTGAGTAATAGACATGCAGACAGTCAGAGGGAAAAGGAAATATTAGGTCTTTCTTGAGAAATCAGGGAAGGCTTCCAGAATGAGGTAAATGTTAGATCTGAGCATGAAGGACAAGTACAAATTGATTTTCAATTAGAGAGTATAAACATAGTGTAGACAGGGCCAAGCATGTATGAGAGCAAAGAAGTTGAAGAAATAGGGCACATGCAGTGACTTTCAGTGGCACAGCACTGCCGTAGGATAGAGAGCAGGGTGCCATTCTGCAGAGCAGTGGAGGTGGGGAATCTGGCCACTCAGGCAGGAATCCTGGCTCAGAGGGCTTTGGACAGAGTGTGATTTCATGCTGTAGGGGCTAAAGAACATTGAACAATCCTGTCATGTAGCTCTTATCTTATGCTTAGAATTTAAGATTAGAGATTTATAGTTTAAATTTTGTAACTCATTTATAAGCCCTATTCATTTGTAATCATCACGAGAGGGAAAGGAATAAAGAGGTAATCTCTAATGTGGTGATTCGTGAAGACTTAAACAAATTCTCACCCGTGTTTGCCTACTTTCCTGCACTGAGAGAACCTGGTAATTATTCTCATAGTGTAACTGGTACTCTGATAGCACATGGATGTCATCCACGTATCACCATGGCAGTAATGGCTATATAATTCAGGGCTCTAAGAAGATAAAAACCCTAATTACTACTGCAAGGACAGAACACCTTCCTCCATTCATTCCTAAAATCTTGAGCTTAGTGTGTTAATAGTTTAGTTTAGTTTGCTAATACAGTCAACTCTCTGTTATCCTTGGGTACCACATTCATAGATTTGATCAAAAAATATTAAGAAAAAAATTTCATCTATACTAAACATATATTCTTATCATTATTCCTTTACAATAGCATAGCTATTTCCATAGCATCTACCTATAAGTATTGTAAGTCATCTAGAGATAATTTAAAGTATACAGGAGGATGTTCTTAGGTTATATACAAATACTACATACTTGTATAAAGGTAACTTGAGTATGTGTGGGTTTGGTACCTACAAAGAGTCCTAAAAACAATCCCCCATAGATATCAAGGAATGACTATGTATACTTTCAAAAGATTAGTATGAAAGGCAGTTCTGTTTATTATGATAACCAGTTTTGTTAAAGTAATAGAGCGATTCATGAAAGCAGAAGATAACTTACAAAGGACAAAATGAATAATCAGAATCACTTCAGAGTTTGTAACAGTCATGTTGTTTATGGATGTCTCTGATCAGTTTGGGTCTAAACAGAAAAATTACTACAAATTAAAAGGAACTCGTTACCATACCCTTGTTAAACAGAATTTGTTTCAATTTATAAAAATGTGTTGTGTGTCTGCCATGGGTTTGGCATATCCTAGCTATTTGTAATATATGAAAAACCAAAAGAAACCCCAACCCTTGCTCCTTTGTTCCTCCTTTGTAAGTGCAGGGAGAAAGTAACCCGATAAACATAGATCTAGTGTGTTTGCAGGTGATAAGTATTATGGGCAAATTTAAAAACAAAACAAAAAAATGGGGTGGTGGGCAGATTGCTGTAATAGGAAGGTGGGCTGGGTAAACCTTAGTGGGAAAAGTGAGATGTAAGCAGATATGAGAGGAGCCTGATGAGCAAGTGTGTGGACCTGAGGTTAGGAGGGAGCATGGCAGAGGCCATGGAAGCTGAGGCATGAGCTATGCCAGAGAAAAGAACTGGAATCCCAGACTATACCAGTCCGTACCACTGACCTTTGGTGTCAGTGGGGCCCAGGAGATTCCCCAGGTAGCTTCCCAGGGGCAGGGACCTGAGTGTTGCTTCTTGCTTTCTGCCTCCCCACAGGGTTAAATTACCACTGGTCCTGTGTGACTCTGGAGACTTATTACATGCTGACTTCCTGTCTTGTTGCAGGTTAGAGATGACAATAAGAGACAACACCCATGTCTGGTGGAATTCTCCAAGCTGCCTGAACAGGAACGCAATTACAATTTGCAGATGTCTCTTGAGACCCTGAAGTGAGTTCTTTAACTCTGTGTTTTCCAATTTGCCTCATCTCAAAGAAACCAGATATTGATGTTATACTTTCAATTCAGCTGTGAAGTTATTTGAATTCCAACTGGAACTTTCCCTAATATATAGGTGGATTAGATCAATATTTGCTGGAAATCCAACTTTAATCCAGCTGTTTTGTGTCTTTTTGCTCTACCTCAGTATTTCCCAAATACTGTCCTGCAGATGCTTATGGGTATTATGAAATATAAGAGTTTTGTGATCAACAAAAAATTCATCTACTAATCAGAGTATAGGCCAGGGACCAAAAACAAGGCTGATTTGAGACAAAATAAGTACAGATATTAAGAGTAAATGTTTAGAAACTTTTATACCACTTTAAGGGAGAAATGTTATGTCTATTAATATAAGAACTTAAAAACATAGGTGCATATTTTTGTGTCTTCATTTTAAAAAATTAATTTCTGTAATACTTTTATTATATTTTGTCAGTGAATCAGACCATGATGGTTGGAAATTAAAAGAAAATTAGTCCTTCACCAAAGGTAGTTTGAGGAGCACTGATCTATATTTAAAAGATGTTGAGTTACACCAGTTAAATATATTTTCTTTTTTACTGATGGACTCTTCAGAATTTTTAACATGGTCCAGTGTACTGTCAATCTCTAAAATGGGGTAGAATCCTTTTTGGTGTCTTCTAAACTTATTTACCTATAGCACCCTCTTTCAGGGAGTAACTCTAGCACCATTTATTTGAGCCACATACTTTGACAAAAGCTACCGCAGGCTATTTTATGTCATGCTATATAAGCAGTTTTGCTTTTCAATGAGTTTTTGACAGTTGATCTATTGAAGTTGCTACCTTCCTTTGCAGATGGAAAATGGGGCTGGAATAGAATACATGAAGGAACATATTTTCAGATTTATTTAGAAAAATTCAGAAAATATTCTTGAAAAGGCTGTAATTTTTTTTCCCTTCCATCTTGTCCTATAGAACTAGTTTTGTTCATAAAGTTTATTTATCCTAATAGGTTTTTATATTTTCCTTTTTTGTTTCCATTTTTTAAGAGTAAGGAGTTTTTTCCATTGAAGTTATTTTACCAAAGATTTAAAACTTAAATAATATTTCAGATTTTATGGTTTGGGCTTAGATATATACTGTATCTTCAAAGAGGCAGATTAATTATCATGGAAATAAGGAAATTAGTAATAGGTTTTATTCATAATTTAGAAGGAGAGTGGATGTGTACAAATGAAGTACATTAAGAATGCACTAGAGGTTAAACGCGACAAGGTTGGTCTGTAATAAGGGATGCAGTGTACACTACCATGACTGGGGCTCTCAGTTCAGCATCTCCTGTCTTCCTTCATGGTCGTGACATGAGGTTCTTACATTAACTCTGTAATTTATGATAGCTCATTATTTCTCTATCTTTTACAACATAATTTAGTTAAATCTGAAGTATATTTCCTGTCATTTTGGCAATTGACAGCTAGGTCAGCTGTTGCAAAGAATAAATCCTGGAGTGTAAAATCTCCATATTTGCCTTCAGTATTTCAGCCTTTGACTGCTGTGTATAATCCAGACTCATTCTTAACTGCTGCTTGTGGTTGGTTTAATTAATCAGATGTGTGTTCCCTGGCGCTGTTCCTTATGGGGAATACTAATGACCCTCTTCATGACCTAATTCTTAATGTTTCTCCATCTTTTCTTCTAGCTAAGTAGTGTATATTTATATGGTTTTATGATGAACTAATTTCACCTATTTCTTTAAAAATTAAATGAAGAGAAAAACTCCTACTTTTCTCAAGTTTACACGTGGTCCAATTCCTCTAGTTAAAGGAAGCCTGGTCCCTTCTTTTGGTGTTTCTTTTGTTCATTTCTTCAGTTAGAAGGTGCCAAGGCAGAGTCTCTAGAATAAAATAGGCCAGAGTGCAGCCTCTGGGGTTCAGTGTCCCGACTCAAGGACTTGCTCCACAGAGAGAATCTTCTGGGGTGGCTCAGCTTCTCTGATCTTAGGCTTTCTTCTCCTCAGTAAAATAGGGATCCTAATGGAACTATTTCCTGGAAAGACTGTGGAACGAAATGTTAACAAAGGCTTTAGCAGTACATGAGTGACAGATTCAGCAGTGTCTAGGGTTTCAGTTTATTGACTTTACAATACATCGTGAGAAGAATTAACAACTTTATTTAAATCCTGAAAAATGACAAATAACAAGTAAGAAATTGTTCCAGCACATCCCTTGTTTTGGGTTCAGGGACAATTTAACGTGATTATGTTTTTGGTCCTCTTTCTGTGACTTTCTGTCTCGTGCCTTGTTGACAAAGATAATTACTTTAGATCTGACTTGTCATTGAATTTGTGTAGTCCACTTGCCTTAGTCTCCCAGAGTGTGGGGATTACAGGTATACGGCAGAATGATTTTTAAAAACTGTACAGTCATACACCTAGTCCTAACAGGGTATCTAGCACAATGTTTCTCAGATGTCAACTTGCTTGAATATTCCAAATGTTTCTTTTCGGAGGCTGACCAGACCTCTAATCACCTGACCAAGGGTATGGTGGCAGGATTGAAAAAAAAGACAAGACAAGATCTTAATGCATAAATGGGGTGCCCACAACAGTCAAAGCTCTGATCAGGGTAAGACACCATCTCCTGGAGCTTGCCACTATTTATTGAATGTGCAGCTTCTAGAAGGGGTAAGGGGTGGAGGAGGGAACAGTGAAGTGGAGAACACTGATGCAAGCAGGTTCCTAGCAACAAGAGAACGAAACATTCTAGCAAGATCAGCTCATAGATTAATGGGAAATTTGTTTCTTCCCAGGGATTAATTTCTGCCTGTATAGGAGTTTTCTGTAGGAGTCATGCTGCCCTCAGCTGCACTATTGCCTTGCCATCCAAGACGCCACAGTGTCACAGATGATTGAGACCTGCGCTGTCACCAGCGGCGTGGGGAGTTGTTCCTTTCCCACACACCGGCCGCTGGCTCTTCAGGCAGCCACTGTGGGCCAATAGGCAAGCTCAGGCTTTTAATATGAAAAGCCAATTTATGAATTTGTAGCTTGCTAAGATTGGTCTCAATCAGTTCCTAAAAACTCTCGATTTTCTGAATTCTTTCCAATTTTAGGCTTCTTTTATTTGGGGGCTGGTATACTGTCAAGTGACCCCCTAGAAAACACAACACAGACATCTAAGACTCCTTTTGGATACCTACTTTTCCCACACTGTGACTTACTAATCATCTTTCCATCTACCCGCTTCTTTTTTGTCTCCCATTCTAATGGTGCTGGTACCACACCATCGTCTCCAAGCTCTCTCAGCACCTTCCATCCTCCTTGTCTGAGCTGGCATGATTTCTAATCTGTACCTGGAACGTTGTCCCCAGAGATCCAGTAGAAATATGCCCAATCTCCTCCCTTGTCTTTTTTGCATTTTGTCACCAGCCAGATCATTTCCACATATGGCTATGTCATTCTCCCTATTTAAAACCCTTTAATGACTTTCCATTGCTCTTAAAGTGAAAAAAGTGCTTTCTTTTGCCCAAATGTCCCCAAGGGTCCTGCTTCCCCTCTCAGCAGCCCCACCCCCTGTGCCCTTTATTCTTGTTGGGGTCCCCTGGCTCTGCCTCCCCTGCCTATCCATTTGCATTTTCCCTCCCATCCAGAGTCTTCTGTGTCCTCTTTGTGGACTGCCCCCCCCCAACCTATGCCCAGTTCTTGTATATACCTCTGTATCCATTTGTGTAAAAAGTAAAAACAGTGTTCACAGTACACACACATGCACATACACATGCATTTACTTTAGTATGCCCTATAGGCCCTCCAGCAGGATCTACAAGAATTGGTAGCAGTAGGTATCTTTGGGAAGGAATCAGAAGTAGATGGAAAGGTTTGAAGGGAGATTTTTAACTTTTAAGTATAATCCTTTGGAATTCCATTTCAATTTTCAGTGTTTTTCCCTTACTCAAGAATAAACAACTTTTAAATAAATACATTTCCTTTTGGTTTAAAAATGGAAGACTAGTGCTCTGCTTTGAAGGTGGAATGTTACAGCTCTTTACCTCCTGCTGCCCTGTTGGTGAGTTCTGGACATAGGAAAGGAATTCTGGCAGCTCATCTCTGCTTTTGTTTTCCAGGACTCTGTTGGCACTAGGATGTCATGTGGGCCTATCGGATGAACATGTTGAAGAAAAGGTGAAGAAAATGAAGCTTCCCAAGAAGTAAGTTGAAGGAGGTGGCAGTATCAAACAGTCTGCACACAGACTTGGTGAGATGCAGATCCCCTGCTCACAGTGACACTATAAAATGCAGATTCAGAAACTTAAACTGGTTGAGTCACCCTAGGTGGGACAACAGACTCACTCCTGAGAGAAGAAACAGAAGTCAGAATGTATTTGGGAGTTTATTACACAAAATGTGTTATTTTCCTAGTGTGTATGTGTGTATGAACTTGTGTGTTCTTCTTTCTAGCTGATTATATACAATGCCCAATTCATTGGAAAGTTTTAGGAATTAAATGAGTAAGTACTCAATAAATGGTAACTATTTCATGATACTGTTATTTTTTCTTTTTAATTTACATATCAAAGCCACTTTTCTGAGGCTGTGAATGGCAAGTAGCAAGTCTGGAAATGTGGTAAATAATATCATGTGATAAGAACAAAATAGCCACCTTGTAATCTCCATCAGGCCTGATGTACTCAAGATAAACATAAAATCCAAGTAGAAATAGTGTGAATTCTCTCCAAATGCAATCCCTAGTTCAGCAGGCTGCAAACAGTTTTACTCAGGTGCTCCTTGGAAGAATTTATTAAAGCTATATCATCTTGTCCATTTTTAGTTTCTAAACTTTTTCTCTGAAAGTTAAGCAATTGCAAAGAGTGTCATTTTATGGTCTATTTCACATATTTACCTTTTGAAATGGCACTTTTTAAAAATAAGTTTCTGGTGTATCTAGTGAAAGCAGATCAACAGTGATTAGATATCATCAGAATCTTTTTCAAAACTACATGGAAACAGAGAATTATATATCATTTCATTTTTTCCTTTGAATTGTAATTCTAGTCCATTTTCCTCACTGTATCTTGTACCATTGAATAATATTTTTATGTTTGACAATTTTTGATCCCTATCCTTCTTTAATATATTTAAATTTAATTTTCAATTTTTTTCTTTTCTGTGATGTTGGTTATTACATTTGAAATTTTTTTCTTCTGAGTTATGAGTATGATAATTTTTGTATGCTGGTGCTCAAAGGAAGGTACTTTGTTTTTGAGACAGGGTCTCACTATGTAGTTCAGATTGTCCATGAACTCACTATGTAGTCCAGGCTGGCCTTGAACTCGTGGCAGTCTTCCTACTTCAGCCTCCAAAGTGCTGGGATTACAGGTGTGTACCACCACTCCTAGCAAAGCAAGATAAATTTTTGATTAAAAAAAAAAAGATTTTATTGGAAATAGCTCCTAGTGAACAGGACTCTGCTGTTCTTTTTCCAATTATATCATGCATCCACATATAATATTATTTATTGATAGAAAGAAGGTATAAGATCAGTTGCATTCTTTGTTCACAGAATAATTTTTGGTATTAAAAAGATCATTCAGTTCAGTGATCCAAAAATCACAGTTTATCATGAAAAATCATGTGTAATGATCTTTTAGGTGACAACTCAATCATGTCCTTGTTCAATTTTTTGAAAGAAAAAATTGGAAACCATCTACCTTGCAGAAGAGTCATTAAAGTCATTATTCTTTCATTAAAGTCACTGATTCTCTCAGTTTTTTGAGAAAGTATTTGAGAAAGGCATTAAGTCTTAAAAAATAAACCCCAATAAACAGAGCAAAACAAAAACAACAAACTAGAAAATAAACTTTTTGCTCTCTCATTTGGATAAGAAAAGAAAATCAAAATGTTAATTTTACATTACCTTTGAATGCATAATGTTAAATTTATTAAATTATTTTTATTCTGTGCTCTGTGTGTGTGTGTGTGTGTGTGTAGGTGGGTTGTGTGTGTGGTATGTATGTATGTTTATATCTCATTAAATCCTTGGAGCCCAATTCAGCTTATTTTATTTATGGAATTTCTCTGTCATAAAACCTAGCTAGTAAAGTCAGTTCTCATTGTCGAAACAACCAACTGGAAACCAATTATCTTTTTCCACAAGGAGTCTAGATTTCTTTTCTTGGTGTAACAAGTAGGTTAGTACATGTCTCTGAGACAACCATCTCAATTCTGATTTCTGAATCTAGGAGAGACTGGCAGGCATGTAGATGGGGCACAGGGTTAGGAGTAAGCTCATCTCAATGAGGAATTAAAGTCCTCTCCCTTTACTATTTTTTACTGATGCTTTGTCATTGTGTTGCTCTCAGTAGATCTGCATTATTTGAGCATAGGTGGGAAAATGGAAATGGTGAAGCCATTAAATGAAAGCTACTCACCCTTTACACCATCCGTACTATTCCTAAATTTGCCGTGAAGTGCTATTTTATTTGGAAAAATTAGGGAATTGATAATAAGCATTTGGATGTAGGTCAGTACAAGCCTAAAAATTTAGGGTGTTTTCACAACCACATTTAAAGAAATTATGATAGTCATTGTGAAAAATTCAATGTTTCAATATTTTTTACCTAGAAGTTCCACTCTTAGAGATGTTTCCTAGAAGGTCCACATCAACACATGGACAAATGATTGTTCATAGCAACATTATTATGAACAGCAAAAATAAGGGGAAGTTATAGAGATGGAAGGAGTATTTTTCAGTAGGAAAATGGATTAAATTGGATATAGTCTTAATAAACAAAGGAGTTGTAGTTATAATGACAATGTAGATGAATATAAAAATAACACCGAGTATAAAAACATTTTCTACAAGATGATATAAAATTGATAGGAATTAAAGCAGAGTCTCAAAATATGCACATGAATACATGGAAATTTGATATTTACCAAAGGTCTCATTACAGATAAACAGGATAATGATAGTTCACTCAGCAGTATTTAGGCACTTGATTAAAAAAATGAAAAAAAAAGTCATATTTCTACCTTATTCTTTTTTTTTTATTCTTTGTTACTTTTCTTTTCTTTTTTTTTTATTAAATTCTTTTATTGGT